TTCTAAATAAACAACGTCACTATCAGGATTCTGTAAACCTACCGCATCAAAAATCTTTAAAAAACTCTTCTCGTGGATCTAAGCTGTTGCCGAACGGGTTTTTTGTCTTGACTATTACCACAAAATTTCTTAATCACACTATTTTGTTGTTGATGATTTTTAAAATTCAAAATTCTTTTTGACATTAAAATGAGTTGAAAATAAATATTAATGAGCGGATTAAAATAATAACAGCGAACATATTTTTATGAGTGAAAATATATATATATATATATTATATGATATTGGAAAATCTTAATATTGTTTACTTTAGTTTCAGATAAGAAATTGTAAGAAAACTCTGTTGATAAAACTTTTAACCCTTTTCCACCTTGTGGATACACTGACAAGTTTCCATCTTAGAATCCGAGTTATTTCCAAGCAGCTGACAGTTTCTCAGGACTAAGCGACTTTGAGGTCCCGGCGAATATATCTTGATCTACATACAAAACTTGCTGCAGTTTATACGAATTTCGGGAGGATTTGTTTCGTATAAACAGTATTTTCACTTATTAAAAAAAGGCAATATTAGGCTGAACATTAAAACATCAAAAGTCAATTAAAGTTATAATATAACTAAATATTGGCTCATTCAGTGTGTAGTGCAAATCTTATTTTAAACCTTAACATCTTTTATGAACTTACGAAAAAAGAAACGACATGTGCTATAATTTAATTTGTAAAAGATTAATACTGGTATTGTATTTAAAATTGGTCGTAGATTAAGATTCTATGAATATACTCTTAGTATTTCATATATATTAACTTATTACAACACTAAAGGTCAATTATAGCACATATATTGTGCCCTCACCAGCGTTAATGTAAATTGAATAAGACTTGGATAAAAATAAAACCTTGTTAGTTTATAACTGGTAACCATTGTGCTAGGCTACACAACAAGTAAAAAATATATGGATGGTATTATTTAAATCAATAATTTGTTTTACTTAAAACTTCATAGCAAATAACATTTACACAATTTAATACACAAGAAGTAATACATGCGTATTTTATGCGTGATGTAGATATCTGGAATAGAATCGGTTTGTTGTTTCTACACTGATTACCGTGGCAGAAAGATTATAAAGTGGGCTGCGGTAATTCCACTGTCAATGACAGACATTTTAAACAGTCTTCACTAATGCTTTACATTTTACCCTGTATTTTAGTTATCAATCAGCTTGATTTTGTGTATAATTTAGAATTTTTTTTTCAAAATCTTTTATACTTTTAATGACATTTTAAAGGATTAAGGATTGTATACAATCTCACAGATTAAAAAAAGAAAGATATACTTGGACACTCTTTAATTTCATTATAAATTTAATAAAATCCAAACGCTTGTTATGATTAATTATGGTTACCTTATTAAGCGTAATATTAGTGACCTCTTCGGTTACTTAGATCAACAAATTTATTGTTGGTCATACAGGATTAAACCCAGTGTAGCTGAGTTAGATCCATCCGCACTCCAACCAAGATGGTAAATGAGAGCTAATTCGAGTTTAAAGATAATACACAATATAAAGAGGAGATGACTAATATGATTTTTTCTCGTGTATAGGTACGATAAGTTAATATTAGTGATAACAATGTCATAACATTTTCCATTTTGTTTTATGTATTAATAAAAAGTTTTCTAATTGAATTAATGACGTGTAAGAACTGTTGAGGGAGGTTATAGATAAAACTTTCTTCTTTTTTCGGTTACTAAAATTTAATAATGTAATGAAAAACGGAACCCAATTTTCAAATGTTTTCACTCTAAAAAGAAGAAAAGCTGAGGAAATTAGCTTGTCAGTCGCACAGGGCGGGTGACATGTAGTTAAGAGTAGTAAATCGCTTGTATGCTGCAGAATAAGGTATGTTGTGAAATATATATATATATGTTGTGACATGTATATAGTCTTCTGGAAACTGGGATTTGCCATAAAAAATAAATTATAGTTTTACGTAAAAAAAATAATTATCTTTGAAATTAAAACCGCTAAGATCTGGAATTACTATTCGTAACTAACATGGTTTATTGTAGTAATAATGTTGACTGAAATCAAGTTTTTATCATTATATAAAATTGGATACCTATAAAAAATGAATATTAAATACAGGCAGGCCCATACAACATTATTACAGTAACATAATTATTGTGTTGTTTCTAATGGCAAGGAACACACAGCACTCAAAAAAGAAATTTCAGATTCGCAAGAGCCTCTACAAATATCAAACATACTACATAACACAGTTCTATTTTCAAAACATCAGGTGGAGCAAGATCAGGTAATGGGTCCCTCTGCCAAGTCCTTGGTTTTACTGTAATGTTTATAGCATTGTAAAGTGATTCATGCATCAGGGCAGAGTAGACTAAAGCCTCCCCTTACTTTCGATGCATACTCTCGCTTTATAAAAATTAAGACTTGTCAAAAATATTATAAAACTTTAATTAACATACACGTGATGTAGTTGCGACGTTAACTCCAGGATTACAATTTTATCCTCAAACCAGGGTAGGCCCACCAGCCACGTTTGAATGTATTCCTCGGAGTGCTCAGTAGGAGCTAATCAAATCCGGAGTTTGATACAAAAGCTTATATATGGTTTTAACTAATTATTTATTGTAGTTTAATTCAAGTGTCAGAGCCCTAAAAGTGCTCAGGAAATCCTGCATACAAGTGGAGCTTCATTTATCATCCTCACCTTTGCCAAAGTGTTGCCTAATTTTTAGGGTGACTCTGTTGTTTTATCCAGTCAAATCTAACTTCTTGTCTTACACTTAATTTGGCGTAAAGCTACGATAAAATATGTATGGTATTTAATAGGAAAATGTAATTACAGAACTCCTAGAGAGACTTCCAGGGCCTAATTAATATAACTGAAACGAAAACATCGTGACACGAAATAAATAAGTTTAGGTTGCTGCTTTTCGGAACTGTTGGATTCGGTAGTAGCTCCAAACCTACTACCGTATTATTGCTACTACCTACCTACCTACTACCTGGACTTACTAATACTACCCTCGACGACGGGGTTTAAATGCCTTTAAATGCTATGAAATCACGAGATATTAATATGATATATTAATTAAGACAAATTAAAGTAAGGATTTATCGGAGTGGTTAGGGGAATGGAACGGTTTGGTTATATAATTGTAGTTTTTTCGAAGAGATTAAATTAATCCCAAACAAAATTATAGTCACCGCTATTCCATGGAAGGTAAGAACTGGCTGGAAAATCGTGAATTGACGTCGTACCCCTTGAATAAGTTGGCTTATCAGCAAACACAACTTTCATTTGATTTATAAAGCATTTTTCAAATAGGTTGGTAAATCATTAATACTTTATCCTCAACTTGGTGTTATTTTTTTCTGCCAGCTTCATTTAGGAAGATGTATTATATTTTAATGTTGTTTGAAATCAAGTAATAAGGTATAAGTCACAAAAATGAAGCAGATAAAATTTTTATTGCTTGCATTTGAAAACACATTTAACAACAAAGTAATGTAGTATAAAGTATAGTATTTTGCATATAAATGATCATTGGTGTTAAAAGAAATACCTATTTAATAATTCAAAAGTAAAATACAGAACATCAGTTTTCAATTTAGAAACAACAACAAATGTTACGTAAAAGATTTCTTGAGCATTTTATCTTTTTTTTTATGGATGGACTAAATAGTATATAGCATTGGAAGTATAAAAACATAAAAACAAAGTATGCGTGCCCCTATTAACTCAGGTACAACATACTACTTAGCCAAGTAGTTGTTACACGGGTAGCAATCAAGTAGTTCATTGAGCTCACGTTATACCCTGATTAATTATGTCCACGACTAGAATAATCTATAATTAATTTCTGATCGGTCCATGCATTGTTTCAATGCTTGGTAGCCTAACATCGACATCGGTATACAAGGAGCGAGCTTTGTCTTTAAATTTTTTCTTATTAATCAAAGAAATTATAAGGCAGTATATTTCGACGTGAATAAAATACATTTTCAGGTAAGTGAATCGGAAAAAGCCTCTTTTAAATTAATTTCAATCAAATCAAATAATCCCAATGTTATTCTCTTTAATGGCAGTCTTGTTTAAAGAGTAAAATATGTCTGGTGTAAACTAATACATCATAACATGTTAAACATAACATTAGTAATATAACATATTTTTGATAGTGTGGTTATCAATTTTTTTTATGACATGGCATGATTAACACAATTGAATAAGTTTAAGATGTGTTAAGGGAAGCTTAATACGAACGCAAGCAATATTATAATCCATACAATTATTAGGCAGCTGAAGAAGGAAGCCAATGGCAATGAGACCATGCCCACAAATGCGATATGTTGTGCAAATGGTTGCAATATTATGTTATAGGTACATGGGCTGCCTCTTTCACATCACCGACTAAGAAGAAGCATCTAAGGGACAGTTGTTTAGTACTTAATATTGTGATTTGTCCATACTTTTTCGTTATTATAAATAGCTTAGTATATAAAGGGAATAAAGTGAATCGTCAGAAATAATTAGTAAAAAACTGAAACTTTGCGTAATAGTACACTAGTATATGAGAAGTATGTACACAAAAGTCCCTGACCCTCTCTACTCTTGCTTACCCCCACCACCGTTTAAATATATTAATTACGTACCCATTTATTACATGTATCAATAAAACCGTTGACAACACAACTATTAGTAATATAGATAGAAACGTTATTTATTTTTTTTTTAATTTCTATTAATATTGCCTAACAATTGTTCAATGACAGTTATAGCTCAGGTTAGTATAAAGGAAGCTATGTACATAAATTTTCAAAACTTAGAATATCGACATTTATTTTTAATATTTAATTATGCATGATAAATAAGCCAAAATAAAATTTGTAGCACGTTTTATCAGTTTAAATCTCACATGTTAGGGTTATAGTGAAGGCGTTGTGACCAGAGAGGATTTTGTTGGCAAAGCAATGTGGTGCGTCGAGGTGATACATTCCTACCCGGGCCGGGCAGCGAAGGGGAGGGGCTGCATTCCTCCCAGGCCGGGCAGCGAAGGCGAGGGGCTACAATCCTACCCGGGCCGGGCAGCGAAGTCGAGGGGCTACAATCCTCCCAGGCCGGGCAGCGAAGGCGAGGGGCTACAATCCTACCCGGGCCGGGCAGCGAAGGCGAGGGACAACATTCCTACCCGGGCCGGGAAGCGAAGGCGAGGGGCTACAATCCTACCCGGGCCGGGCAGCGAAGGCGAGGGGCTACAATCCTCCCAGGCCGGGCAGCGAAGGCGAGGGGCTACAATCCTCCCAGGCCGGGCAGCGAAGGCGAGGGGCTACAATCCTACCCGGGCCGGGCAGCGAAGTCGAGGGGCTACAATCCTCCCAGGCCGGGCAGCGAAGGCGAGGGGCTACAATCCTACCCGGGCCGGGCAGCGAAGTCGAGGGGCTACGATCCTACCCGGGCCGGGCAGCGAAGTCGAGGGGCTACAATCCTCCCAGGCCGGGCAGCGAAGGCGAGGGGCTGCAAGCCTACCCGGGCCGGGCAGTCTCACGTCGTTCAAGGGATAAACACGGCTAAAGTTTAAATTTGAAATTTGCTCTGAATCGTTATCCCTTAAAAACGAAGTGCCATTAGACATATGGTACCTATATAGAATTTTTTTTAAAACGTAATGCTATTTGAAATTTTAGAGTTCTGCTAAGTAAGTCTAAATACTTTAAAAATAAACTGAAAAGTTGCATTGAAATAGTGGCGTCGCACGGTGGTACATTGAAATGGATCAGTATAGCATATAGACTTATTTAAAAAGTAGGCTTTACAAGTCAATAAATGGCCTCGATTGACACAATTTTGTAAAGACTCTTCCAATAACAAAACCCATTCCGTTAGATGTTTATACACCTGGGACTCGCATCCGTCGATAAGTGAAAAACTACAAATACTGACTCACCTCTACCCAGACTGTGGGTCGTGAGACAAGTTATTTATACAGGGTGTTTTCAAATAGTTTGGACATATTTTATGGACTTGTTCTTGGGCTAAGACAAACATAAAATGCCAAATAAGTATGGGTCTAAAATGCCTGTATTTTGGTTTGTCGGTGTGTTTGTGATTTATAAGAATAATTTAATATCTTAGAAAATGTTCAAGATAGAAATTTCAAAATTGGTGTATATGTGTATTTGCGTAGGTAGAAAGAGCTTACAACGTTTTGTTCCAATATCTCAAGACGTTTCAATATGGCGGCCATTTAAAATGTACAAAGCCAAATTTCATGAAAACTGTAAATATTAAGAACATTGTTTTTTGGATCAAAACGATAGAGAATTTTAATCCAAATTAAATGAGACCTTGTTTGTCAAAATCGGATTACAAACAAATGAGTCATCAGTTTTCTTTTACATTAATAGGACTTCCATATTGTTGAGCCGTGACATGCCCACCAAGCGTCCCACCAGTGTCACGCCTCAGTGTTTTTTGTATAGTGCGAGTGCTGGCCTTGCGCCGGAACTCGTTCAGTTTGGGTCTGGCAGCAGTCCTGCAGACCCCGGGGCTATTTTTCCGCTGCCGAGCACATTTTCGGCAGAAGGCGAGCGACTGTCAATTTAACCTGTCAAACTTTGTCGTTTTCTGAAGGCAAAATATTTTACTTCAGACAATTGCTTTATTTTCCACGCCAGCGAATCTTGAACATGGTTTAAGTGTTTTGCCAGTCGTCAGATGAGGTCCCGGATGTGAGGTTTCATCAGCCGCTGTCCTCGGAGAGGGTCGCCCGGAGGGACACGCCATCTTCTGCCTCCTTGGGCTGCCTACGGCCCAGCTTCTCCGGGGACCATTATGCCGCCCTCCATACAAACATCCGGAGGTGATGTTTTACGACATCCAGATGGAACACCGCCACTAGTGTGATGTGAAAAGTGCCACCTAACGCAAGTTATTTTTTGAAAATATCAGCTTTTTTAAAGACTTAAATCTCTAAAGGGGCCCCCAAATAATTTATTATTTGTTATTTATTTTTAAGCTAATTGTTATTTATTTATTTGAAAGTTATTTATTTATTTAAAGTTTTAGTCCACTGTTACCTTCCTTTTACAGTTACCACTTTTAATTATTTATTTGTTAGGCCTAATTTTGTTACTGGTACCAGTTCTTGTAAGTTCAGAAGGGTAGGCTAAATTCCTTTTCATTAAAATTTTTGATAAAATAATTCTTTGGATGGCTGCTTTGTTGTTTATTGTTGATTGTTTTTATTGTTGAATTTTGAGATTAATTATAGGCTTTGTTGACAACTGTTTGTTTTGTTTTTGATATTCACCCACGGCCTTTCACTTTTGTTAGGGATGTGGGGCGGCCACTCGCACTGTCACTATGGGGGGCATGCTTCCAATAGTTGTTCGTCTGGGGGCGGTGCGAGGGGTCGGCTCAGATGGTAGCAGAGCGTGGTTTTTTGTGCTCTATCCACGAAGGGCCGTGGTTGGATTTGATTTTTGGGTGATGCTGGTCTGGCAGTCTTAGGAATTTTTTGAAGAAATGTTGTCGTGGTGGGGTAAGCACACTGTTGAAGTTTTTTATTAGGAGCTCGCCCTTGGCCGAGTCACCGGGTGGAATCTGGTTAATGACTTGTATCCTTTGGGAGCAAGAGTGTCAAAAGCATGGCCAAACCCAAAATTGAAACTGTGTGTGTGTGTTTACCTCATCACCCAAATGTTAGGTGTTGTTGTTTAGTGTATGTATGTTGTGTGTATGTCGTAAGAGTAAGGTCCGTGTTTTTGATTTGGTGGCTAAGGCGGTGTGTATGGGCAGGTACTTCTGTTTGGGACCTCATCTGACTGTAGGCATTTCAGTCCAGAGCCTTTAGTTAGTTAAGTTTGTGAATTGTTTGTTGTAAAATTTTTTGTGTGTGTTTTGGAAGGTAGACCGACTGACTGAAAGCAAAATGGGTTTGTTTGCTCCACTGCCCAATCCCATTTCTGGGGTTTTGAGCGACATTCGCCCGGTTGATGGTTTAGAGGTGGAACCTTTGTTAGAGTTTTTGGGAAAGGTGTTGCACCTGAAGGAGTTCCCAGGCATGGAGGACTCAGTAGTGTTGGAACTGCTGGTTCCACTCCGCCTGAGACCTCTTGGTGACAAATTGTTAGATTGTTTGAAACGGGGAGTAAATTTTGACAATTTTCACAGTGAAGTGCTTGAGCTCTTTGTCCCCTTCAGGGTCATGGAGAGATTGAAGGTTGAGAGAGTGTTTCGACCTCAAAAATTGGATGAAACTCTCAGTCAGTATGTGGGTGACATTCGTGGCGTGTGGCGTGTCCTACGGCTGGGCATCCCTGAAAACCAACTGGTGGACATTGTCTTGCAGGGGTTGAAGCCTGAGGAGCGGTCCAGACTGATTTTCGCTCCAAAGCCTTCTTCTTTTGCAGACCTGGATAGGTTGGTCATCCTTTCACGGAGCGTTCAAGACGCTGATTGTCAAAGGGAGCACGTTGCGGGGCATCTTCCCCGGACTGGTCCCCATCCCGCTGTAGCATCCGTGTGTCGAGGTCCTGAAACACCGCAGAGACAGAGGCGTCCTATTGTTTGCTTTGGCTGTGGTCTAACAGGTCACTTGAGACGAGAGTGTCGTCAGAGGGTTAATCTTGGGACTTTGTCCAAAAACCTGAGTAGCTCACAAGGGGAAAGTTTGCCTAAACCGCCCTGTGAGAAAGCTGTTTTGGAGAAAGTCAGTAAGAATTTGGTTTCTGTGAGTACTGCCCCTTCTGGGAGTGCTGGTTTTGGGGAGCCTCTGTCGCGGGGTATGAGGGAGCTTGCATGCATGGGAGTGAAAGCGGCGCGCTCAACTTGCCCACGACTCAACATCTTCTTAGGTAAAACGGTGCAGAAGGCCCTTGTGGATTCTGGGTCAGCCCGTTGTCTCATTTCCCTTTCCCTGTTTGAAAATCTAAAATCTTCTGGGCTAATCAAGCAAGTTGAGCGAAGTACCCACATCTGCTGGACTGCGTCAAAATCCCCACTTCCAATCATCTATGAAGCCCGTTTGAAATTCAAGATTGAACATTTTTCTTGGGTGTGGAGTTTTTGGGTAGCCAAGGACCTTTGCATTCCTGTCATTTTGGGAGCGGATTTCATCAAGCATTGTGGCCTGATTTTGGATTTAGGCAGAGGCCAGTGCTTCTTTCGTTTCGCAAGACGGGTGCTCATTCCTTTCGCAGATGAAATTGTGGATGGTGCAGCTGTGGTAGAGCCTGAGACACCCAGCAAACCAAAAGTTGATCCTTTAGGGCATCTGACTCCTGGCGAGGCTGAAGCAATCAGAACATTGTGTTCTCGTTTTCCTGAGGTGCTAACGCCAAAGCTTGGAGTTACCAATCTTTTGGAGTACGAAATCCGTTTGACTGACACCCGTCCAGTTCGTTCTCATCCTTACAAACTTGCTCCACCCAAAATGGAGACACTCCGTGGAATCATCAATGAGCTTCTTGAAAATGGGGTAATTGAGCCTTCTCGCTCAAGTTACGCAAGTCCAGCTTTTCTAGTTCCAAAGCCAAATGGCAAGTCTCGAATGGTTCTAGATTATCGCAAGTTGAATGCTCAGATTGAAATTGACTCTGTCCCTCTCCCTGATTTGCACTCTGCGTTCGATTGGTTCGGTAAGGCCAAGTATTTTTCCGTCTTTGATTTGAACCAGGCTTACCATCAGATTCCCTTGAAACCTGAATCTCGACCTCTCACTGCCTTCTGCGTTCCGTGGAACTTGTACCAGTTCACACGTGTTCCCATGGGCCTAGCTGTGGGGGCCCAGACCCTCACCAGACTTCTGGACTCCATCTTCCATGACGTCAAGTTCAAATTTGTGTTCAACTATCTTGACGATCTTTTGGTGTACAGTGAGAGCTTTGAAGACCATCTGGTTCATCTTGAGGAAGTCATGAATAGGTTGCTTAGGGCTGGCCTTACCGTAAATCCCGAGAAAGTTAGTTTTGCTCAGGCTGAGATTTCTTTCCTAGGTCATCTAGTATCATCTCGAGGTGTCTGTATCGATCCGGCTAGAACCCAGGCTATCAGGGAGTTTCCTCCTCCCCGAGATGTCAAAGGCATTGCCCGTTTCATTGGAATGGTGGGTTTCTACCGGCGCTTCATCCCCAATGTGGCTGAGTTGGCGGCTCCTCTCAATGAGCTTCGGAAGAAGGGCGCCAAGTTTGTTTGGGGTGAAGCACAACAGATGTCTTTTGATCTTCTGAAAGAAGCTATCATGCAACCCCCGGTTTTGGCGATGCCAGATTTCAGTCGAAAGTTTGTTTTGCAAACCGATGCTTCCTCCGTCGCAATTGCGGCTGTGTTGTCTCAGGAGGTAGATGGTGTTAGGCAGCCAATTGCGTATGCCTCACGCACCTTGAACCCATGCGAAAAGAAAAGCTCTTCTGTGTATGAGTTAGAGTGTTTGGCTGTCGTGTTTGGAGTGAATAAGTTCAGACGTTTTTTGGAACACAGAGTTTTTGCTGGAAACCGACAACCAGGCACTCTCGTGGCTCCTTGCACATCCTCGCCAGCTTGGGAAAATTGGTCGTTGGGT